CCGCTCCCCGCAGGAGCCTCGGCAGCCCGCGGCCGAGCGGCAGGTGTCGGCGGGGCGGCCCGGCACCGCCACCGGCACCGGCACCGCGGCCGGCACCGGGGCCGCGGCCGGGCCCCGGCAGGACCATGGTGTCCCAGCTGAGCGCCCTGCAGCAGGAGCTCCTGGGCGCCCTGCTCAGCTCCGGGGCCACCAAGGAAGGGCTCATCCGCGCCCTGGACGACATGGTGCCCAGCGGCAGCTTCGGCGTGAAGCTGGAGAGCCTGCCGCTGTCCCCCGGCGCGCCGCCCGACGCCAAGCCCGCCTTCCACGCGCTCGCCAACGGGCACGCCAAGGGCAAGCTCTCCGGCGACGAGGGCTCCGAGGACGGCGACGACTTCGACACGCCGCCCATCCTGCGCGAGCTGCAGGCGCTCAACACCGAGGAGGCCGTGGAGCAGCGCGCCGAGGTGGACAGGATGATCAGGTACCGGGGGCGCGGGGGCCGGGCCGGGCAGGGAGCCGCGCGGGAGCCCCGGCCCGGCCCGGCCCGTCGGGGCTCCGGGCGCTCCGGGAGCGGCGGTCGCGGGCGGCCGGGGAGGCCGGACCCGCTGCCGGCTCCCTGCTGCCTCCGCGCCGGGAGATAAAACATAAACTGCAGCACGTGGAGCCCGCGGTGTTATTAATTTATTTCTATAAATCATCAACAGAAAGATACACAAAGGGCCGCGATTAGGGCGCACGGAGAGGCGGGTTATTCATTGCCGAAGTTGTAAACGAGGCGGGGAGGGGGGAAGGAGGAAACCCCCAAACGCGCCCGCTCGTCTCTTTTCCGTCCCGGGGGACGTGGCCGCCCGGCCCCGCTCGGCGCCGGCTCCCGCCGGGTCCCCGCGCCACGTCCCGCTCGCACCGCGCCGGGCCGGGCCGGGCCGAGCCGGGCTGGAGCGGGACGCGTCGGGCCGGGGCGCGTCGCTCGGAGCCCCGTGGGTCGGAGCCCCGTCGGTGCGAGCGCCCCGCGCCGCTCGGAGCGGCTCCGTCGGGGCTGGCGGAGCAGCCCCCGGCCCGGTGCGGCGCCGGGAGCGGCGCGGGGCTGCGGGCTCCCGATCCCGGTCGGGTGGTGCCCGGGGTGGCGGCTTCCCGAGCTCCGTCCTCGCGGTGCCCGGAGCTCTGTGTTCCCCTGGGAAACCCTTTCCTCTCCCCGAGGCACGACGGGGTCCCAGGGCCACCCTGGTCCTGATACAGCCCTGTGCCAGCACCGGCGACCCCGGTGCCGCCCAGGATGGTGGCCCCGCTGTGGCAGGTGGGTGCCGACCTCTGCCATGGGGTGGACAGGCTGGGCTTGCTGAGGGGCTGCCACCCTCCCCAGGGACTCTGTGGGGCGCAGGTTGCCCCTGGCTTTGCGGCAGGTCCCTGCTTTTTGTGTCACTTCGCTCGCTGCCCCTGGGCTTGTCGTCCCCTGCCTGGCCCTCATTCCCAGCGGGCGCCGGCGGCCGCATCCTGCCGGGCAGCGCGGTGCGGAGCGGGGCCGCTCGGGCGCAGGTGCTGCCGTGCACAGTGTGCGCGGGTGCAGACAACGCCGGCGCATGTCCCCAAGGAGCCTTGTGCCCACGCCGTGTTTGCGCCGAGAGGCCTTTGTACTCGCAGCGCGCTCGCCTCGACCCGCTCCCAGGCTGCTCCCGCTCCAGCCCCTTCCCCTGGCCTGAGAGGGTCTCGCCCGGTGTTTGGCGCAGGCCTGGCCGAGCCCTGGCGTAGCCCATGGAGCCAAGGAGCCGGAATGCTCCAGTGGAGCAGCCGGACGGCCCAACCCATGGATCCCGCGCGGGTTGGCCGGGCACTTCCCGTCGCCGTCGCTCCCCGAGACCCAGGGCCGCGGCCCAGGGGAAGGGGCAGCACCCCCGCCTCTGATCCCCCCGTGTGTGCACAGCGATGCAGATTAGATAGACCGTTTCTGTAGGGAGCCTCTTTTATAATCCAGGTGTATAAATTCTTGGCATATTTCTGGGCGGATGTGGAGTGTATTTACCTGGTTTCAAGGCTGACAAAGAGGGCGAGCGGGGCGGGAAGCGGCGGCTCATGGAGCACCCCGGCTGGGGCAGCCACCCATTGCGACAGGGGTTCCCAGGGGAAAACAACCCAACCTCCCGCCCGCTCCCATAAAGGCCCCGGCGGCAAAGGGCCCAACGGCTCCTCGACCTTGCCGGCGCTCCTGCTTTCCTGCACCCCTTCCGCCCGCGTCCCGCCGCCGTGCTTCCCGCGTTCCAGCTTGGGGACGGGTCCCCGGGCAGCTCGGCCGGACCCAGAGCTCTGCTTTTCCTCTCAGGATTTTAGGTTAACTTAAAAAAAAAAAAAAAAGGAAAAAAGAGGGAAGCCAAACAAACACTCCAACGATTCATTCTGGGTCAAGTCCAAACATTTTGTTTAACATGAAACAAAATGTTTGGGTTTGGTTTCAGGTTCTTTAACCCTTTTAATTACGGTCAAGTTGATTCGTAAAGAGAAGCGCGACTTGGGAAGGGAAGAGCGGGCAGGAGCTGCGGGAGCGGGAGGCTGCAACGCGCAAGGAGGGTCTGAGCGAAGCCTCACTTGAAAGGGCAAAATGAAGTGAAACTCAGCGATTTGCTTCTCCCCCAAGTCTCCTTTTCCTTTCTTTTATGGCCAAAACATTGCCCATTTGATTTCAATTCAGAAATCTTATTTTGATTCAGATATTTTATTTCAATTTTACTTCAATTTAGATGTTTTATTTTGATTTTACTTCCATCCAGAATTGCTATTTTTATTCAGACATTTTATTTCAATTTTACTTCAATTTAAAACTTTTATTTTGATTCAAATATTTTATTTCAATTTTGTTCCAAATCAGAAATTTTATATCAATTTTATTTTCGTTGAAAAATTTTGTTTTGATTTTATTTCTGTTTAGAAAATTGCTTTCAATTTTACTTCCATTCAGAAATTATATTTTGATTTTGTTTCAATTAAAAAAAAAGTTTCAATTTTATTTCAGCTCAGAAATTTATTCCAACATAGAAATTTTATTCCAACATAGAAATTTTATTTCAACTCAGAAATTTAACCCAAAGCAGAAATTTTATTCCAATGCAGAATTTATTCCGAGCCACTCCAGAGCGGTGCCGCGCGCAGCCGCCGGCCGCTGCGATCCAAGGGCTCTGTGTAATTGCACGATGATGAAGCTGGGAAGGGCAAGATCAGCCGGGGGCCACGATCCCCTTGGACCTCACCAATGGGAATCTGGAGGCTTGGGAGGAAAACAGTTTTCCTAGTTTTCAGCTTTCCGGCCGGAAAACAGTTTTCCAGCCGCCTGCTCGTCGTGCCGAAGGGCTCCAAGCCGCGGGCCGTGCCGCTCACGCCGGGTTTGCCGTGCGGAACCCCGTCCCGCAGAGCTGCCCCGTGTGGCTGCGGCCACGGGAAGGGCACGGTGGAAGAAAGGAACAAAGCTCCTTAAATCCCTCGTGCCGGAAAAGCCGCCGGCGCCCCGTGGGATCCGTGCCCTTCTCCGGGGCCGGGCGGCGCGCACCCTGCTGGCCGGGCCTTGCTCCCCACACCTCTGTTTTGGCGCTGCTTTGGGCACAAAAAGTAAGAAATCTACCCACTGGGCTTCTCCCGTGACAGCTTGAAGGACCCAGAATAACTGATGGATTGGAAAAGCAGCCGGACGGCTGCTCCAGGTAGAGCAGGAGAATATCTCATTCTTCGAGTGCACAAGTGTGACGGGGCGCAGGGCCCACGCCGCTGCTCCCGCTGCTCCAGCACTTCCTTTTAGACCCGCACCAATAATAGCTGTCCCTTAAGGAGCAAATCTGGCAGTGCAAAGTAATGCCATCTAAAAGCGCTGGCCGCGGTTCCAGATTTGCCATTTTTTCCCCTGAAGCCCCTGCCCATAAAGCCGGGCTGCGGAGCCGGTGGCGCGGGGGGAAGGACGCGCTTTGCCTCCCGATCCCGTAGGATCACCGGGCTGCGGCGCCGGGCGATGCCGAGGCCAGGCCACGGCTGCTGCGGGAGCGCTGTGCCTTGCGGGCGGGAAGCGTCGCGCGCGTCGGCTCACGCGCTCGCCCCTCTGCTCTGAGCCTCCCCTGCTCCCGTTCTTGGAACAGCGTGTGCAGGGATCACCCATGGATACCCCTGGATTCCCGTTCCTGCAGACGGGAAAGGGCGGCAGACCTGGAGCGAGACTTGGGGCCCTTCCTTCCCGCGAGCGCCGCGGGCGCTGCCAGGGCTCAGATTTATGACCCTGCCGGTCCTGTTGCCGCCGCGTCCTCCCGCGCGGGGCAGGAGGGCGGCCGGGGGCGACGCCTTGGGGCCCCGCCGCGATTCGGGGGCTCCCAGACGCCGAGAACGCGGCGGATGTGGCCAACTCAGGGAGAAGCATCCCCCGGCCTTCCCACACGTGTACATACGTATGGGTACATGCATATATGTGCGTGTGCCTTTATGCCAGGTGTGCACGCAAGGCATGGAGGAGAAATCGCCACTGGGGCGGCAGCGGTTACGGAGCGCGGGGCAGCGTGAGCACCGCGCGGCTCTCCCGGGCGCACGGCGCTAACGCCGCCTCTCCCGCAGCGAGGACCCGTGGCGGGCCGCCAAGATGATCAAGGGCTACATGCAGCAGCACAACATCCCGCAGCGCGAGGTGGTGGACGTCACCGGCCTCAACCAGTCGCACCTCTCGCAGCACCTCAACAAGGGCACCCCCATGAAGACGCAGAAGCGCGCCGCGCTCTACACGTGGTACGTCCGCAAGCAGCGGGAGATCCTCCGCCGTAAGTACCCGGCACGCAGCGGGCACAGCGGGTCTGAAAGCGCCGGCACGGGCGGGCAGGAGCCGCTTGCTCCTCGCGCAGCCACGTGCGAGTTGCACTGGTGGGAACAACAGCAGCTCTGCGTGATTGCACCCCCTTAGCAGGGAGAGCTAAATAATGCGGAGCATAATTAATAATTAAGTCCAAAGGGAGAGCAATTAATAATTGCATGCAATTAGATCTGTTGCCCCCCTCTCCATCTTTTTGCAATCGCTTGCACTGATGGAAGGAGAGAGAAAAGGCACCTGTGAATGAGGCGCAGCTGGCGCCTGGCTGCAGCCGCCCGCGGTACTTAAAGCACAGCCGGGGCTGAGCCCTGGCCCAGCTGCTGCTGCTGCTGCTCTGCATGGGAGGGTTTGCCGCACGCCGGGAGCGATGCGGGGAGCTGCCCTGTCCCATTCCGGCAGCCGCGAGCAGCGCAGCCGCGAGCAGTGCATAGCTGCCTTCCTCCCGCTGTGGTGCTCGCAGCAGGTGCGGGAGCAGGGCTGGAGTACAGGCCAGGCTTTGCCAGGGCCGGGCTTTGCCAGGGCCGGGCTCAGGTGGGGGGGGTGCTCCGGGCAGGGCGCTGGCTGGGCGCGCGGGCGCCGCGGTCACCGTGCCGTGCGGCGGCAGCATCGTCACCTCTGCTCCTTTCTCTTTCAGAGTTCAACCAGACAGCCCAGGGCGGCGCGAGTAGGACGGGCAAAGGCAGTCAGGATCAGCTGCTGTTTCTCTTTCCAGAGTTCAATCAGCAGAACCAGGGGGCCGGGCCGCTCGAGGATGCCTGTGCCGAGACCCCCAGCAAGAAGATGCGCCGCAACCGCTTCAAGTGGGGGCCAGCCTCGCAGCAAATCTTGTACCAAGCCTACGAGCGGCAGAAAAACCCCAGCAAGGAGGAGCGCGAGGCGCTGGTGGAGGAGTGTAACAGGTAACGCTCTGCACCAGTGCCCGTGAGGCTGCATCCCGAGATGCTCCCGCATGGAGTGCATGGCACTGCAGTGTGTCGGGAGCCGCTCGCAGCACCAGCGTGGGCAGGAGGAGCCGGCGGGATGCAGGAAGGGCTGGAAGGGCCCCCCTCCTTTCCGCAGTGTCCCCACATGGTTCCTTTGCTCTGCACAGGGCCGAGTGTCTGCAGCGGGGGGTGTCGCCATCCAAGGCGCACGGGCTGGGCTCCAACCTGGTCACGGAGGTGCGCGTCTACAACTGGTTCGCCAACCGGCGCAAGGAGGAGGCTTTCCGCCAGAAGCTCGCCATGGACGCGTACAGCTCGGCGCCGCCGCCGCACAGCATGAACCTGCTGCTCTCCCACGGCTCCCCCCACAACCAGCCCAGCGCGTCGCCCCCCGGCAAGATGCCAGGTGAGGACGCAGCGTCGCGGGGCTCCGAGCGGCTCCGCTCCGACATGCTTGCTGCCCTGCTTGGGCAAACTGAGCCGTCACGTGCAAAAACGTCCAGCAACAGCGAGGGGAGCATGGGGGTTTTGGTGGGTTCCCCAATTGATGCTGAGCAGCAAAGTGCCCCATGCTGTGGGATGCTCCAGCTGGATGCAGCTGCATGCAGGGCAGGGTGCCCAAGGCAGTGCATCCTGCAGGGAGATACTGCAGCCAGGCTGGAGTGCAGGAGGGGGTTCCAAGAAAAATCCTGGCAGGTTTTAGGAGGAAATAGTGTAGCTGGAGTTGCCTTTTGCTGTTGGTGCTGGAGTGAATATCAGGCTGCAGCTGCAGCCCCAGCACCCAGCTCAGGGCACCTGAGCCGCGGCAGCCACCGCTGGCATCGGGGTGGCTGCGGAGCCACGCGGGGACGCAGAGCCCGCGTTCCCACCAGCCCCGTCTCGCATCCGTCGCTGCCGTGCGCCAAGGGGCGGCCGCTGGCACGAGCCCCGCGCAGCGGCGCCGGCGCTGACCACGGCGTGACCCCGGCCCGGCCGTGCCCTGCGCCCGTCCCCGCCGGCCGCGCCGCGCCGGCCGCAGCGGCTGGTTTCGGTGTCGGCGGCGGGGCGCACAAAGGCGCCCCAGCGAGCGCCCGCGTTGTCATGGAGCGCCCGCCCCGCGCGCCCAGCGGGCAATTGAGCGGGGGCTCGGTGGCCTTTGAAGTGCCCCCGCGCACCATTGTGTCCCCCCGCGGGGGCACCGCCGTCCCCTCCCGCCCCCGTTAGCCCTGCGGCCCCGGGGCCATGAGCCCTGGCATTTATGTCCCGCGGCCGAGCCCCACCGCGGGAGCTGCCCGCAGCATCCTCGGGTTTGGGGTGATGCCCCTATGCAGGGATGGGGGTTTGAGGTGGTACCCCTGCATGGGGACAAGAGTTGGGGTGGTACCTCTGCACTGGGGACAGGGCGTTTGGGGCGATGCCCTTGCACAGGGATGGGGAATTGGGGTGATGCCCGTGCACAGGGACAGGCGGTTTGGGGGAGTCTCCTCCCCAGCTGCACCCAGGCCCTGGTGAGGAGGATGCGGGTGCAGAGCTGGGGTGCCCACGGGCTCCTGCTCCAGGACCAGGGCACAGGGATGCAGTGAGGGGTTGGCTGGGGTCTGGGGCTGAGCTCGGCTCCACCATGGCCCGTACTGGCATTTGACCTGTCCTTGCCCCGTGCACTAAATGCTGCAACGTCTCGGTGACACCGGGGTCCAGGTGTGCCGTGGCTCCCGTCCCCGAAGGAGCCGGTGGCATCTCCCAAGCAAGGGGAAGGGATGCTGGGAGCGCGGTCGTGTCCCACGCCGCCTGCTCTCGGGACCCTCGCGATGCGGTTTTTAGCTCTTGGGGACCCTCACTATGGGGATTTTAACCCTTTCCACTCTGCCGATACCTGGGAGCCTCTTCCGGAGGCTGCCCTGGGCTCTGGACTTTTCCCTCCCTGCAGGGCGTTATCAGCCCTCCCGGCTCCCTGTTTGATTTGAAGGTCAGGCTGGGCGTTATCTGCCGTGCCGGGTCCCTGCGTGGCCGCGGCTGCTGCCCTCCTTATCTCGGCCACCCCCAGACAATCGGCCGCTGATGGGATTAAGGGCCGCGGAGCCGGGCTGGGGGCGCATACAAAGGCCCCGCCGCCCCGGCTCGCACCCCGTCTCCTTTAGGATGCTCGTGCATATATACACAATGTAATCACGTGTAATGTAATGTCATTGTGCATATACATGCAATATAATAATGTGCATGTGTCTATGTGTGCACGAGCATCCTACAGCCAAGGTGATGCTTGCATATATAAGGATGCATGCTACTGGTATATTATTAAGCACGGCTGCAAGTGTAGACCTATATATAAGAATAACTTTGGTCTATGCTTGGATGCTTCCTGAGCAAAGAAGGGCAATTTGAGTATTTTTCCCTTATTTCTTTTTAATGGTCCCTTTGCAAAGCGGGTCGTGGTGCGGCGGTGCCCGGCCAGCAGCTGTGCCGGTTTAGGGCCGTGCCCATTGTGCGGCCGCGGGCGCGCGGGGAGGATTCTGCGCCGTTTATGGGGGTAATTAGGGCTTTATGGCAGCGGCAGAATGGGAGGGTCTAGTCCCAATAAACAGGTTTATAATGGGTATAAACCGTGCCCCTCTGCAACTCAGCAAGGTTAACGCTTTAGGGACAGCTTGAGTGGCAGCCCCAAAAAGCTGCACTTTGGCGCTGGGTTTTGGAAGGATCACAGGGGTCGGCCGCTCTGTCCCAAGGGCTGGGTGAGCCCCACTTCGGGGCTCTGTCTCGTGAGCATCCTCCTCTAGCATCCTGGCGGTGCTGGGCATCGCCCGCAAGCTGCAGGGCGGCCGGGATGCCGTGTCCAGCATGGGCCATGTCCCCCTGTCCTGCCGGGATGTTCCTGCTCTTAGCATGGGGTGGATGGTGCTTCTGTCGCATGGGGAATATGTTAAAAAATACTAAGTTTGCAACCTTCTGGATGGACGTAACTTAAAAACGAGGAGGTCCAAGCTGCTTCATTACTCTGCCTCCCAAGGAAACACGGCTCAAATCCAGAGGTTTTGAGGCAGAAAGCTGAAGGAAGAGATTTTTCTGTCTTTCTTTCCATGCTTCCTTGCAGCACAGGGGTAGAAGAGGGTGCAGGTGGTGTGCAGGGAATGGAGTGCGGGGAGGCTGCTGGGGGGAAATGCCTTCCCATAGGATTTGCTTCCCAGGCAAGGACACCGCCAGGCCCTAGGAGCCGTTCTGGGATGTCGGTGCAGCACAGACGGTGCCAAGTCTGCCCTATGTGCTCCGGCCGGCGCGCGGCTCCAGCGGAGCTGCAACCATGGGAGCTGCGGTGCTGGCTGCACTTGGCATCCCCATCCGCAGGGGCGGGAGAGCGGGAAGGGCTGGGGCTGCAATAGCCACGGCTGCAATAGCAGGCCCAATAAATGGGCTTCTACATTATGGCTGTGGCTGCAGGGGAAAAAACCAAAGGCCTCAAAGCGGGCGGCTCCGTGGGGCTGTTATGGGCGATTTGGGAGCGGGTCGGTGCCCAGGCTGGGGGTCCCGGCGCCGGAGCCGCCTCCAGCTGCGGCCGCTCGGAGCAGGGCCGGGGCTGCCGGCGCCGCAGCCTCAATAGTGTCTGCCCCGGGCGCCCATAAACCGTGAACTCGGGCCGGGTCGTAAAGCGCCGTGGCCGGCCCGGCGCGGCATCGGCAGCGCCGCCGGCCCCACTGCCTTCCAGCGGGATCCTGGCTTGCAGCGAGGTCTCCATCCGGAGTTTGTGGCTCTTCTGGCCTTGGGCTTGTCTGGATGCCGGGAGCAGGGGTTGCTTTGGCAAGAAGCAACCTGGGATTGCAGAGGGCAGCTTGAAAATCATCTTTTAACATTTCGATGTTTTTAGGAATGGTTTCCTTGCTCCAGGAGTCCTAGCCTGGGGATTAGGAGCATCCTCTAATGATGTAGGCGAGTTGGGATCTGGAAACAGATTTTTGTTTTTCCTTTTTCTTACTGAAAGCTTCAGCAAGTCCAAAAGACCAAACTTTCCTTGTCTTGAGAGACGGTAACTTCCTGCTTGACGCACTTGTGCTTAGACCCCGTATGGATAGGCAGTCCGTAGCTTGCATTGCGCTCCGTGTCCCGTGTTTCGGTGCACGTTGGCGCTTGTACCCACGATGCCAAGACCTGAGTGATGGCACCAGCTCTGTGCTGTGCGGAGTGCCCGCTCCTGCTGCTGGCCTGGCACGGCGCTCTCGGAAGGGGCCGGGAGCTCGGTGCCCGGGACAGGTTGTTTCACAGCCCCGTAAAGGCGCTTTTGTTCCCAGCGGGTGTTTTTTCCTTTTTTTTTCACCCCCATCTGTTAATTATTGGAGATCTCTGGATGCCTTTCTATGACACACAGCTGATCACTGGGTTATCAGTGCGAGGCCAGATTCAATATATTTTTAGTGAAAACCTGTGCTTGAGGTGGATGCTGCTCCAATCGGTGTCTGTTGCTCTTTGGCCTTCCTGTGGGAATTTACTAATTCTGTGCTTGGAAAGGCTCTGAGGAAGGAGTGGGAGCTGGTGCTGGAAGGGCCCATGGTGGGGGGGATCCTTGCAGAGCTGGTGCCTTGGGAATGCCCTGGGGATGCCGCGGGATGCCCCAGCGATGAGGGATGCCCAGGAGCTCCTGGGGGAGGTGGGACACCTGGGGATGCCCAGGATCTGCCCTGCAGCTCGGGGCTGCCCGGATGCTGCAGCGTGTGCCCCGCTCTGCACAAAGGGTGACAATGGTGCAAGCGGCAGCACCCGCTCTCTGCCAAAGCCTGTTGTCCCCTCGGCAGGCAGAGAGCCGTGGTGAGCCCTGCGCGGCCCGTTGCAAAGCCTGCGGCGCCCGGCGCGGCGCCGGGGGTTCCCCAGGGCAGGGGTGTGGGCGGTCTGGGCCCCCTCCCCGTGCCGGGGCTCCCGTGCGCGGCGCTCACGGCGCGCGGTGTCTTGCAGGAGTGCGGTACAGCCAGGCGGCGAGCGGCGAGGCGGCCGCCCCGGGGGCCATGGGGCACCACGGCGGCGCGGCCATGGTGCCCGGCGGCCAGGCCGTGCTGCAGCAGGTCTCGCCGGGCGCCCTGGAGCCGGCCCACGGGCTGCTCTCGCCCGACGGCAAAATGGTGAGTACACCTGGCCCTATTGTGGCCACGGCGCTGATAAGATAAGCGGGCCCGGCGGGCAAAGCAAACAGGCGGCCGGCGGGGTTCACACGCGGCCCGCGCCGAACAATGGCGCATTGTGGGGACGGTGACAGCGCGGGGGCACGGCCGGGCCCGGTGCGCTCAGCCCTTGGCGCATCCGTGCGGCTGCATTGCTGCGCGCTTTCCCCTGCTGGTGCCACGGGGCGTGATAAACCCACACTTATTTTTTTAACTTAAGCTCTTTTTTTTTTTTTTTTTTTTTTTTTTTTTTTTTTTTTTTTTTTCCCCATTTTGAGCTGGGCTCTTCTCTTCCTCCTGCAGCCCCTGCATGTGCATGGGTGCTGTGCTCACCCCAGGGTGCTCTGCCCTTGTGTGCCCCATTGGGACAGCAGGACAAGGGGCACTGGGAGAGCTCTCCAGATCGCCAGCCCTGCCCTGCAGGGTGCCTTGGGCATTGCGCTTCATCCATTGCTGAAAAGATGGCCTTTTTGGGAACTGAAAATGGGAATGGATAGTGGTGGGGCTTTGTTTTTGTGTTTTTGGAATTGCGATAGGGCATGATGGCTGTTTTGGGGATTGCAGCTCTCCCCGGGCGCGATGCCGCGCGCCCAGGCTGCGCCTCCTCTTCCGGGGAGGCGATTTTGCCGCTGAAAGCGAAAGTCAAACATGGCCCTGGGCCCGGAGCGGAGCCCGGCGCCGCCCCGTGCGGCCGCCCCGCTCCGCTCCGCATGGCAGCGCCCGGCCCGAAACCCATAAAATGAGTCACGGGCGGCGGGGCCCGCAGGGCTGGCTGCTCCGGGTGCACCAAGGGTGCGATTTGCTGCTTTCCCCAAGGAAATGCAGCAGGCACTTCCCAAAATGGGAGGCCGTGGGTGAAGCTGCTTGGGGATGTGGTGGGAAGACCCCACAGGTCCCCATCGCTGGCACTATCCTCCTACTGCACGCGGCCTGCCCGCTTATCTCCCATCTCTGGGCAAGGCTAGCTGGTGCTTGCAAGCTGTTTCACAAAAGCATGCCGCAGGCTGCGGTTTTGGCGAGCAAACACGTGCCTTGCGTGTCCCCCTGGAAGCGGGAGCCGCCGGGGGAGCTGCTGTGTCCCGGGACCGGCTCCCGCAGGGGCGGCGCGAGGACGCGGCCACCTCGTCCCCATGTGCTGTGGGTCCGGCCTCTCCTGGGCCTCAGCGTGCTCCCATCCAGCCTTGAGGAAACCGGGAAAGTGGAAAGTCCTGGATAAGGAAATGTGACTCATTCTCCTGCTCTGGAATTTATTGATCTACTTGTTTCGATGGCAATGGAGCCATCTCGAAGCACATTCTCAAAATGAAAACAGAGCTTGCACCAGTTGCCAAAACTGTCCCTGCTCCTTCCTGGCCTCGGTGGTGCCTGCAGGACGGAGCAGCTCGGTGCAAGCTCGCCCTTTCCTGTGTGCGATCACTCGTGTGCTCTCTTGGCCCCAAGTTTGCCCCAGGAAGCAGCTCCAGTGTCTTCTCCATGCTCCGAGCAGCTCTGCCCGGTTCCCAAGCCTTCACTGCTGCCTGAATTGGGCTCCCAAGGTGGCTGAGTGTGGCTGGTGCCCCTGGCAGTGCCCTGCGTAGCCTGTTGGGGTGTTTTAGCTTGCAGTGTTTGTGTTAACTACCTTTCCCCTGCAAGGTGATGGTTAGTTAATGAGTGCAGCAAGTCCTCAGCTGCCCCTGGCACGGGCTCGGGAAAGCAAGCAGCAAGTGCCAGGGCTCTTGTGCCCCTGGTGCTGTGCAAGCGCTTCCAGGAAAGCCTTTTTGTGCCCAACTCTGGCTGTCCAGTGGCCATTTACGCCTGGGATGTTCAGGAATGTGGCAGGGCCCGGGTGTGGAGCTGGGCCGCCTGCGCTCGCTGTTGATGCCGCGCTGTCCTGCTCGCTTCTCCAGCAGATCTCGGTCTCGGGGGGCGGGCTGCCCCCGGTGAGCACCCTGACCAACATCCACAGCCTGTCCCACCACAACCCGCAGCAGTCGCAGAACCTCATCATGACGCCGCTCTCCGGCGTCATGGCCATCGCACAGAGTAAGTGCCCCGCGTCCCGCGCCCGGCGACCTCCCCGCGGGAGCGTCTCCCGTGCCGCCGGTGCTGACGCCTCGCTCCGTCCCCGTGCCAGGCCTGAACACGTCGCAGGCGCAGAGCGTGCCCGTCATCAACAGCGTGGCCGGGAGCCTGGCGGCGCTGCAGCCCGTGCAGTTCTCCCAGCAGCTGCACAGCCCGCACCAGCAGCCGCTCATGCAGCAGTCGCCGGGGCACATGGCGCAGCAGCCCTTCATGGCCACCGTGACGCAGCTGCAGAACTCGCACAGTAAGGGGCTGCCGCGGGACCGCGGGGCTGCTGCCCCGCTGCATTCGGTGGCGCGGGCGTCCTCGGGAGCTTCCCCGCACACCCTGGCCGCGTGGTGCCCGTCACGCTCCGTCAGCGCCCTTTTGGGGCAAAACACAGATTCTTTGGTCAAACTGAGGTGGGGGCGGGGGGGAAGAAAACCCTTGGGTTATAAAATAACCCCCTGTGCCTGGCAAGGTTTGCCCTCGGGTGCGTGCTCAGGACATCCCGGTGGCCCCGGGGGCTTCTCCGTGCCGCAGCAGCGTGGCCTGCGCCGTGCTCCGGCACGCAGCACGTGCCTGGCCGTGCTCCGGCACATTCCCACGGCCCCTCCGGCTCCCCCGCGTCCCCGTGGCACTCATTCCAGTGTGATACCCGTGCACGGTGTTGACGGCTCCTCTCCTGCACCCCGCAGTGTACGCGCACAAGCAGGAGCCCCCCCAGTATTCGCACCCCTCCCGCTTCCCCTCGGCCATGGTGGTGACGGACACGAGCAGCATCAGCACCTTGACCAACATGTCCTCCAGCAAGCAGGTACGCGGCGCCCGCTCCCCGCGCGGCCCTCGCGCACAATGCTCCCTTCTCCCACCCGCCCGGGGGCTGTGGGAAATATGTGGCCCTTATTGATCGCTAGATAAACAGGAGAGCGGCCTTGAACTTGCGCGCAGATAAACGCCCTCGCCGAGGGTGACGGGGAGAGGGAAAAATGCCGCCCGCGACCGCAGAGCAAACACGGCGGCGAGCCGAAGGGGCCGGCGGCGCGGGCGCATCCCGGTGTGCGGGCGCATCCCAGCGCGGCGGCGCCCCGCGAGCCCCTCGCTGGCCGCGCTCGGCTGTGCCGCCCCGGGAAGGCCATTTCCTCGGCGAGGCTTTATCGACCCATCTGGTGTGCGCTGAGCCCGAACCGCTCCCTGATTGAGCGCGCCGCCCTGCCTTTGATGCTCGCCCGCTGGAACGAGCCCTGCGAGCACAGGAAGCCTTCCCCTAATGGGAAGGGCGCGGGATGCACCGCCGGGCCGCACGCCCCCGGCTCGGTGCGGGGCTGCCCCAGGAAATTGCCCTGTGTTCCTGTCCGTCCCTCCCCAGGGATTTTTTTTTTCTCCTGCTTTCGTTGGAGCAGGAAAGGTGGCAATGAAAAGTGGGTGTGAGGAGGCAGCGCCGTGGCTGGGGCACGGGCCCCGCTGCTCACACCAGCCCCGAGCATGTGCACCCTAGCCAGAGCCAGGCACCTTCTGCCCCATGGGTGGCAGCCCTGGAAATGCTTTTTTAAAACCATTTTAAAAAGCAAAATGTGAAGAGCAGGCGCCAGGTGTGGGCCCTGGCACTGCCCGCTCGCTCGCCGGGCGTTCTGCAGCAGAGCCGCTGGCGCGCTTGGCTGCGCTTGGCAGCGCTACCGAGGGCTGCGAGCTGCCGCTGAGCCATTTCTCCAGGAGGCTGGGCACACGCGGGCACGTTGTTGTTGTTGATGTCATTTTAGGGACAATTTCTGCCTGAGACTGTGTTCTTCCCGTTGCATTCGCCCGGGGGGTGCGCAGCCCCTGGGGCGCCCTGCCCCTCACCACCTCTCTCGCCTCTCTCCTAGTGTCCCCTGCAAGCCTGGTGATGCTCCACACTTCACTTGCTTTGCACCTAGCAACCGGACCGGATTTGCCACCACTTCCCACGGGCGCCCCGGCAGCCGCCGGGGGCTTCACCCCGGTGCGGCCGGGCCGGCTCGCGTAGCGTAGCGCCGCGCCGGTGAGGACCCGCTCCCGCCACGCAGTATTTCCCGGCGCGTCTCCAGGACTCGCTCCGAAGCGCCCTCCTTCGGGGAGGCCGCCGGCCCTGCCGGGATGCTGGGAATGAGCCGCCCCGGAGCTGGCGGAAGGGACAAGTGGCCAGGTTTCATTCTCCTCCTCTCCGGTGAGGCCCGTGCGGATGGAGGGATGGGCTTTGCGTGCCGTCGAACTGAGCCCGTTAAGTGTAAATAGAGGTACAGCCCGCTCCAGCTGGCCCTTCCTGCCTCCGACACATAGAGATTTATATAAAGAGGTGAATTTTGTCCAATGGATGTAAACTACTGTAATTAAGTGCAATCCCCCCACCTGTATATATGAGTCCCAAACTGCCTCATTCTCTCGTTTTTGAACGTTCTGGTAGTGGTCAGAGCTGTGCAGAGCTTTGGCTTGACGTCGCTCCCCTTTCTGTACGGGAGCTCCCTCACTCGGGGGCTGCAGACCCTCTGGCACCGGCCCACGGAGATGCCCGCTCCGCTTGGGAGCCACTCGGAGGCATCGGGATGCAGGTCTGCAGCGCTCCCAAAGCCCCCGTCCCATCTGCACCCACCACACAGGACACGGTGGACGCGGTACCTGCGGCCAGGAGAACAGCGTTGGAAGGAAAGCCCTGGATGCTTCCTTGGCGCAAGGAAGGCTCTTTCACCCTGTGCTGGTACCGTGTCTAGCACAGTGGGACCCCGGTCCCTGCTGGGACTGACAGGAGCTGCCCAAAGGGAAATAAGTCATCGAGAAGGGGAGCCCCACATACAGAATGGCATTTAATTTAATGTATACCATAATTAAATACCATTTCTTCTGGTTTCATGGTTTCTGTGTGATCATTTGCTCAAGTGATGCCTGTCATGATCAGTGAGGGGCACTGAGATGCATAGCGGAACGTTTTAGGGAATGGGGTGTTTCCGAGCAGGGTTTGGGTTTGCTCCAGAGACACAGGGACCTGGCAAAGCCTTGCCCAGACCCGGCCTCTCACCTCCCTCATCCCTTTGCACACACAGAGCTGCATCACTAAGGATGTTGCCCTCATTCTACCACAGCTTATTCCTTAACCTCAGCGGCCGAGTGTTAAACAAACCAATTAAGAGCTGCCTCGCAGGCGGACAAAGAGCAGCCCCATCCATTTTGGGTATTGAGCCCCTAGGTCAGTGAAAACAGCCAGGGCGGCGGAGGGTGCGCTCTCGCTGCTGCCGCCTCTGAAGAGCTTTGATTGCAAGAGCCACCGCCACTGAACGCCCCGGGGCCTGCGGGACCCTGCAGCGCGTGCGGCTGCAGCTCTGTGTCGAGCGGCGGGCAAAAGCACCCCTGTTTGCTCGGGAACGTGTTTGTTCCAAAAGGCACGTGTGGGCACTTGTGGAAATGGGGAAAAACACCTGTGCAGAGGCCTGGGGCTCAACTCTGCCGTGTCCGTGGTTTGTAGCTGTCCCATGTGAAAGCTGCAGGTCCAAAGCTGAAGGAGGAATAGAGGCTCTGCAAGGGGCTCGTCAAGCCAAGCTTTCCCCAGCTGATGAATATCCAGATCCAGCATTGATCAATTAACATCATTCTCTTCAGAGAGCTGTGTGGAGGGACCAAGGGACACTGGTGACCATTGTGGGGATGGCACCTGGAGGTGCAAGGCGGGATAAGGAAGGGATAAGGGCTATGGAAGGGAGAAAAAGTGGATGGAAGGACACATCTGCACACAGGAAGACACGGGTGGGGAAGGCAGTGGAGCCTGCATGGTAAAAGCAGCAGGACGAAGACTATGAAGTGAGTGGGATGAGTGATTAGGCAGCATTTAGCCAGGATGTGTGTGAAGTTGCCCAGTGGCCGGGGCTGTGTTGCCACCCGTGCCCCGGGTACCAGGGACAAGGCACGGCTGCTTCCTAGGGGATGCTGCAAATGCCTATGTGTTCACAGCGGGGAAAGCTCCCTGGATTTGGCTGCAGCTTCTGTGCCCATCCAGGCAGAGCAGCCCGGGGCGATCCCTGGTGCGGACCTGGCTCCGGAGGGGCTGGCTGCCCGCGCGGCTTGTCTGCAAGCACAGCAGCTCCCACAGGCAAAGCCGGGCCCGGCACCGGCACCGGCTCAGAACTGCCCCAGTGCCGCCTGAGCCCGGCGCCGGTCCCAGGGAGCAGCCGCTCCTTGGAATCTGCTGCCTCCGCGAACCCTGGGCTGCTGCAGCCCCGCAGAGACGCGGGTGCAAACCCGGCCCCGTCTCGGGGCACCCCAGAGGTGCAGGCTCACACGAGCTGCTTCCGCAGCTGCAGAAAGCATCGATGCACGCGCACTGCACCGCAGTGCCCAGCTCCCAACAGTTTTCTTTCCAGACTTCTTGTCCATGTGGCCAGGGGGGTGCACTGCAAATTTTAGCAAGAAAACCAGAGGTTTGGGCCACGATGTCCTGGCGTGATGATGCAGCGGGACCCGCGGGCACGGCGGTGTCCCCGGCGCGCAGCCCTGCGCCGTGGGTCAAAAGGGAAAGCATTGTGCTCCCTGCGGCCAGCAAACACGCTCTGCCCTTTGAAGCCTTTGAGCGGCTTTGGCTAAGCCGGTGTGCGTTTGACTAGTGCGCCAGGAGGAATGCACGAACTGCTTGCGTTTGAGGCTGGGCTGTTTGCAGACGCTGCCGGCCGCCCCCTCGGCGCTGCGAGCAGATAGGGGAGCCCGGCGAGGCTGGCACCCCTGCAAGGCCGGCCGGCACCGCCGGCGCGCTCCAGGTGAGCGTCCCCGCATGCCCTGCGCTCGCCGCGCAGCAGCGGCTCTGCTCGGACCCTCGCTCGTGTTCCCGCTGTGCAGCATCGTGAGGGCTCCTGCACGGGGCCCACGGGCACGGCGTCACCGCGGGCCGCCCGCGGCACGAAGCAAAGACGCTCCATGCAGGGAGCCTGGTGTCACACGTGCGGTCAGAGCAAACACCCGCCGTGGCTGCCGGTCTGCACCACACCGGCCGGCGGCGGGGCCGTCTGCTGCCCCGGGCAAACAGGCAGCTGCGGGAAAGCCCTCGGCGGAGGCTTCCCTCGGCACAGAGCTCTCGGAGGCTCCGCATGTGCCCCACGTTCGCGCAGCGCCGGCAGCTCATGCAGGGCAGAGCGGGGCACACGCAGGGTGCAGAGCAGGGGACATGGGAAAGCCGCGGCCTCAGGCGGAGCCAGGGAACGGCAGGAGAAATGGGAAGCGGGAGTGGAGCTGGCGGCAGTGGCCGCGCTGGCTCCCGTGCATAAACCAGCCCTAAAGCCGAAAACCCCAACGTGCACCAGGGACTCGTCCCAGCCTTCCCGCACAAAGCCCGAACCCCAGAAACTTTACACTCTCTTTTAATTCCAACAACTTTTATTCTACTTTTCTATTCAGCAAAATTAATTTTCCTCCCTGTAATTAAGATGCCATCCAAATGGATTCTTAATTACAGATAAATCACAAATCTACACACTCAACTGTTATGCTTTTCAAGTAATAAAAGAGATCATTTGTCTTCTTCAGATGAACAGAGACCAAGTAGCACACCATTTCCCCCTTTATGAAGAATTCATTTGCCTTAGAAAGAAAGCCTTTAAAAAAACATTGCAAGGATTTCTTGAATAGGGGATCAAAGCTCCCACACTGCTGGAAACCATTTTTGCTAAATAAGATGTAGGCAAAGAAAAAAAAGTAAAAGTTTTGGGGCAGTGATGGGGATTACAACACCCTTGGGAGGGACGAGGAGAGGGGTCAAGAAGTTGTGACCAGGTTAGCAACACAGGGAACAGAAGGAGAGGACAAAAGAACAGAAAGTGGAAATGGACAGATGAATGAGGGAGCATGTTTCTTTGCCGAAAGAGAATAGATGCTACATCAATTCATACTGAGAGCTAAAGGCTGAGGGCCTGTTAATGGATTGGGGGACACAGCAGGGATCAGAGGTCATGAGTGCACTCAGCCAGGCTAATTGACTGTTATGTGCATATTAGTGATGATAAGTTGGTATGAGAGTGGGACGTGGGGAGCAGGTATGTAAAAGTCCCCTTTACAGCTTAGTCCTGTAAATCCTGCCTTACAACAGCTAAAACATATACTTTTTCTTTAAGTTACTGGTTTCCAGTGTCTTTCTTTCAAGAGGGGACGTGGCCGGCAGTGCCGGTTCCCCCATTTTTGCAGGATTCTCGGTGTGAGCATAACCTGCAAAGGGCGAGCGGTCTCGTGCAGTGCACGGGACGGCGCGGGTGCCGCGGTCGCTGCCGCAGCCACACGTCGTCTGCAGTGGCCACCCGGACCCTGGCAGCTCTCCGGGCACTGCCAAAGCTACTGCACTGCTGCACTTGTGTGCTTTGCTTTCCCTTTGCTGCTTTGCATTCATTAGACAGAGCAAATAAAATCATCCTTTGTCTTGTGGTGCTTCTCCGGCAGGTATCAGAGGGGGTTCAGCTCTGGGAGCTTTGATGTTGCCTTGCTCGGTACAAGCAGGAGTTGAACTGAAAACGAGTGAAATCAGTCCCAGCCTGTCTAGATACCCTGAGGATCAAACGCAGCACTAGGGAACAGTGCAGCTTGCAGCTGACTGCCTAGAATCAAAATCCAGCCCAGGGCACCCTGCTAATAGGGAGGGTTTCCCCAGTTCCCCCCGGCAGCTCCACCATTAATTACTGCATTAGCTGCTGGGCTCATCTGAAAGGCCTTTGACGGAAGGGAAATTTCCCCTTGCTGGAAATTCGCTGTCAGCACCGACTTGGCAGTGAGTGCCCGGTAATGGAGAGCACAACTAAACGCAGCGCCGGTCTCTCCCTCCACACGGGACAGGGCACAGCGCGAAGGAGACCCGGGGCGCCGCGGGCCGCCACTGCGGTCCGGCCGCCCGGCTCTGCCCGCGCGGCGCCCGCACTGCCGCCCCGCCAGCC